TGAGAACTGCGGGTTTAACTCAACCTGAACTAAGTTTTTCTTTTATTTTTGAGCATTAAAGTGTACCTCCTATTTTTCCTTTTTGCAAAGCGGTCAATCACTTGTGACTCAGCTTAGAAAGTTCTTCCTTTTCAACTGATAAAATAGCAAGATGATGGAGCCTGTCTTGTCCCATTGTGCACCTCAGCCAAGTGTGGAGCCTTCTCAACACACTGAATGACCTTTCACAACCACAGCTGTTGACTGGGATGGTGAGGGAGATCTGGATGACCTGTGTTAGTGTTGGGAATATGATGTTATCAAGCAAGTTGAAAACACACTGCATATCCTTGATGACAAGGCTTTCTTTTTCAATCATAAAAAGCTTTCAAACTATTTTGAATTGAATGAAAGTTTTTTTTTAACTCCAAATTTGTCCTGGGGATAGTGGGACAACTTCACTTGTTTAGGACCATCATGCTTTCCCCCTAAGTCACTAATGTCCCATTCTTGTTTGTGGACGCTGGTTGTTGCTCCCTCATCACCTTCATGGTCCTGTCTCTCACCTGTCTCTTGCCTGTCAGTCTCTCCCCCTCCTCCCTTTCCTACTCCAGCACCTTCATTCTCATTCTCTACAGCAAACATTAAAAACCGTAAATTTATAATTATGTAAATATCTATCATATTGCTTATAACGTCCCTAATGTAACTGCTTAGCTTAAATCACTAATTCATTACGGGACCTTACCTCCCTCTCTCATCTTGTTTTACTGCTTCCCTGTCTCTGCTTCGTGTGAGGAATTTCCTGATATCCATCTACAAACCAGTGCAGTAATTTTCAGTTTGTAGCCTATAAATCATGTGGTTTCACTGGGAAAATAATAAAATTGACAGGTAAGAAACGTTACCGGAACTAAAAATGCGTCGCGGCCGCACAGTGTCCCATCCAACTCAGTTGAGAGGAGCGTGTTAATTTACCTGCAGTTCATGCAGTGACATGCGCTGACGTGGGGGCGCTAATACGTCCTCAATTTGGAGTTACCAACACACTTGCTGCGCATTTGAGTAGAAATATACGTCTCCTCCCGTTGGAATTATCTAAATTGATGCATTAAAAAAATGTATCACTGTTGCAAATATTCATGAGATTTATACTGGGGCACAGCTCATTTATACTGGGGCACGTGCCCCAGTAAATGGGGTCTGGCGACGCCGATGGTTCTCACACTGATTCCCCGCTGCTTCTGTCTGAGCTCAGTCTCCTCTTCCCTCTGTTCGGCCCCCTGTTTTGGGCACTCCTGTTGCCGGTCGCTGATTGAGGCCTACCATTTCAAAAAGGTTGATGTCCAAGCACTCTCAATTGACCAGGGCAAGTCTTAGGTTGAAATATAAACAAGGTGCAAAATCTATCACATTATACTAAATATATAAAGGGGGCTAGAGCAGTGATTTTCAACCTTTTTTTTAGCACATTTTTTACATTTATAAAATCCTCAGGCACACCACCAGCCAAAATGACACAAAATGACACACTAACGCAGTACATATAGATATAGTTAAAGGAGAAGTTCGGTTTTTTACACTTTAAGCCCATTTTCTGTAGTGTCCAGGGTGAAATCGAATGATCGACACCAAAAGTTTGACAATTGCTCCTGTCTCTGCTTTTTGGCTCATTTAGAATCAACCCCTGGCTGCTTCATAATGGCTGCCATAGTGCATGTCGGATAATGTCCTTAAAACAACCTTAAACGTTCTTTTTTTAAAATATGCTACTCACCGTGTCGTCAGCGCTGTTCAATGGCGTTCCAAAAAAAGTTTGTGAAGAAAAAACGTTCCTGTAGTGTTTTATTTAGCATTTTGTAAATCCCATTGAGTTCTGTTGGAATAGTCAATATCCCTCCGCCACCCGAAACGGAAATGGGGCCTGTTTACACAGTTGTAGTCTTTTCGCTTCACTCTGTGTACTCCGACGTCGAGGTGCTAACGTCTCTGTTAAACACTTTAAAAAACTCTGAAAATGGAATACGAAAGGTGGATTCTTGATTCTCGACGTCGGAGTACACAGAGTGAAGCGAAAAGACTACAACTGTGTAAACAGGCCCCATTTCCGTTTCCGGTGGCGGAGGGATATTGACTATTCCAACAGAACTCAATGGGATTTACAAAATGCTAAATAAAACAAGACAGGAACGGTTTTTCTTCACGAAACTTTTTTTTGGAACGTCATTGAACAGCGCTGACGACACAGTGAGTAGCATATTTAAAAAAAGGAACGTTTAAGGTTGTTTTAAGGACCCTATCGGACATGCTCTATGGCAGCCATTATGAAGCAGCCAGGGGTTGATTCTAAATGAGCCAAAAAGCAGAGACAGGAGCAATTGTCAAACTTTTGGTGTCGATCATTCGATTTCATCCTGGACACTACAGAAAATGGGCTTAAAGTGTAAAAAACCGAACTTCTCCTTTAATAATAGTTTCTAAATGTATTTATATTCACTTGGTGTGAAACCTGGGCCTGTGTCAATCAAGACAAAAGGGATATCATTGTAGGAATAGTAGAAAGACACAAAACACTTCTTCAACAGTTCTCAGTCTCTCTCTCTGTTTTTAGTGTTTATTGCAGTCAAGCTTGACAAGATCAGCTCATGTAGATATGTGGTTGAAAATGGGAGCAATTTCAAAATAGCTTTGTTGGCCAGAATGGGGAACTCATTGGTAACAGATAACCAAAAACTGTTGAAAGGAAGATGGGATCTGTTTTTGTGGTCTTTTGTTGTCTCTGTTATTCGCAGATTATGTGGTTCTATTGGCTTCATCAGGGCGTGATCTACAGCTCTCACTGGAATGCTTTGCAGCCGAGTATGAAGCTGTCGACATGAGGATTAGTGCCTGCAAATCTGAGACCATGGTCTTGAGCTGGGAAAGGGTAGAGTGCCTTTGAGGATGTACTGCCCCTAGTGGAGGAGTTTATGTATCTTGGGGTCTTGTTCACTAATGAGGGGAAGATGGAATGAGAGATCAGCAGGCGGATTGGTGCGGCGTCTGCTGTGAAGCAGGCACTGTACCAATCTGTTGTGGTGAAGAGAGAGCTGAGCCAAAAAGCAAAGCTCTCGATTTACCGGTCGATCTACGTTCCTACCCTCATCTATGGTGATGAGCTTTTGGTCATGACCGAAAGAATGAGATCCCGGATACAAGCGGCTGAAAGGAGCTTTCTCTGTAGTGTGTCTGGGCTTTCCCTTAGAGATAGGGTGAGGAGCTCAGTCATCCGGGGAGGACTCAGAGTAGAGCCGCTGTTCCTCCACATCGAGAGGAGCCAGTTGAGGTGGCTCAGGCATCTGATTAGGATGCCTACTGGACGTCTCCCTGGTGAGGTGTTCCAGGCATGTCCCACCGGGAGGAGGCCCAGGAGGAGACCCAGGACACGCTGGAGGGACTATGTTTCTCGGCTGGTATGGGAGCGCCTTGGGGTTCCCCTGGAATAGCTGGCCCTAGTGGCTGGGGAGAGGGAAGTCTGGGCCTCCCTACTGAAGCTGCTACCCCCGCGACCCCGGATAAGCGGAAGAAGATGGATGGATGGATGGATGGATGGATGGATGGATGGATGGATGGATGGATGGATGGATGGATGGATGGATGGATGGATGGATGGATGGATGGATGGATGGATGGATGGATGGATGGATGGATGGATAAAAATTGACCTTCATAGTATAATCTGTACTGTGAAAAGTGTTGTTTTGCCTAGACAATGTTAAACAATTGGGGGAGTATAACATTTCACATGATTGCCTCTGCAATACAGATTAATGCTTGATTGTTGAAACAATAATACTATTAATATAAGTATGTAAAATATCCTGCTAACAAAAATATTACAAAAGTATATGACCTGCATTGAAGAAGAATAATCAGGTCTTGTCTAATAAATTAATAAATAAAACTCTTATGTCTGTGGGCATTCCTGTGCATTACACAGGTTACTGTAGATGTCTTTACAAAATAGTAAAAGGTAATAGACGTACTTTTAAAAGGAAGCAAAACACTAAAATTACATTTTATGACACATTTAGGTAGAGGCTGTTTTACTGCTTTTAAAATGTCTTAAGAACTCATTAGGAGTTCCTGACCATAATTTTAAATATCCAAACTGAAAGGAAAGGCCTTCTTTTTGGAAATATTTATTTTAATTAAAATAAACAACGTATATGATTTAAATTAATTCATGCATTTTTGATTAGAGACTGCTTAAAAATAAAGAATATTAATTTTGTGTAGAGTTTACAAAATGCTTCAGAAATCAGGAACATTTGCAGTCCATATAATTGGTTATTACACGGAATTGAAATATTCCTATATGTATTTTCTCATACAATCTTTAAAAACATCCGATTTTATTATAAAACAAGCTTTGGGGACTGATAAAATTATTCTATTTGGAAATTACTATTTGGAAATCATATAGTCATATATACTGCATATATATACTACTGCTACGGCTATCTTCAAAAACCTCATACAAAAATTTCAGTTTCATCAATTTACTCTTTTAAAAAAAGTAACCTATTTAACAAATGTATTACATGTCCTTCCATTTAAAACTATTTTATAACAGAATGCAAATCAAATCCCAGGAAGAAGTAAAAAAACAAAAAAAACAAGAATTTGACAAAAAAAAATACATTTTAGCGTTTTTTTTATGTTCTTACCCACTTAATAAATGTTGTTTTCCAATTATCAGTTAATGAATGCTTGCTCCATGAATCCTGATATGCAAAAACAGAAAATCCCATTTCCCCCTGGCCTTACTGACATTCTCAAGAGCATTTGTCACTGCATAAAAACAATTGTTAACCAAGGGAGGTTGGAAAATGCGCCTCAGAAACAGATACATATCTGCAGGACTGACCAGAGGACGCACTTTATTGTGCAGCCTTCACTTGTCTCCCAGGAGAGAGATTAAATAGTGGTCGGGGAGAAAACCCATTTAAGCCCCGCCACCAAACAAGCACAGTCCTTACCTTGTCGTTTACGGCGTGGCTCCACAAAAAGCTGCCATAACAGATGGAAAGTCTAAAAAAATACCGGCTAGTGCGACATTCCCCCTCCGTGACACAGCTCCAGCCTCCCTCCTCTATGTTGGTCTCCTTCGCGCTGCTGTCAGCGGCTGGTGATGCTCTAAGTACAGCAGGTGCGTAATGACGCGCTGCCCTCACCCTCTCTGAAGTTTAACAAGTGGGAAAAATGCATTTGCAAAGCAAACATATCTGCGAGTCTTTTCAATGTTTAAATATTATGAATAATGGCTATAGCGTGGTCAACATGGTTGTCTTTCAACAACAACTGGACTAAACAGCTTATAAAGAAATTACGCACAGTCTGAAAGTCGCACTCAGTGGCGGTGAAGGAAGGAAACAAACACTTCTCAACATCCCGAGTTCCAAAAACTCATTTTAAAGAAATTCTAATGATGATATGCGCTGGAACAGACATGGTTACTGATAAGTCCTTTGGAACTATTTCATTCTTTTTCTTTACGAATTCTGTTTTACTAATTATTCTAAAACAATAAGGTGACAGCTTCAGTGGTATTGAGATAGGATCTAATTTTTACAGATTAATTTAACAGTTTTTCTTGAGTTCTAATTCAAATTTTTACAGAAAACAGTACTTTTAACTTAAATTAAGTCAAAACTATGTAAAAATCCTTAATTATAAATGTATATTGACCTCAAAAGAAGTATAATTTTTATTGAACCTAATTGAAAAGAAATTTCACTTCATGCAGCTCTCTTAATATATTTGAATCTCTTGCCCTGTTTTTTATTTCTTGCTTTTCTATTCCCCCATGAAAACACACTGGCCCCCACCTGGACCCCTGGTACATTTGGTCTCGATCCGCCACTGTTCCTCACCTTCACTAGACGTGGATATACTTTAATATATTCTGCTGTAAAATTAGTCCTATATTTTCGTTATTACTCGAGGATTCAACCTCTGCCGTTTCACAGAATGCACAGCTTTGAGTGGTAACTAGGTGACTGCCAGACAGTAACCCAGAGAAACTTATGGGACTGATCCAATCAGTTCTCTGACAACCAGTCGCCTCAACCGCTCGGTGAACAGAGCATCGCTTCTGACAGATATGCTGCACAGGTTTCACCAACAACCTCCTCCCCACACCCCACACTGTCTTGTTGTCTGCACAATCTCAGTAGTTCTAATCCGCACATGATGCACAAATTATTGTATTGCCTGTTCACTTCACTCACAATAAAAAAAACACCACCTCGCAGACAGTAAAAACCGGGATAGTTTATCCGACTTGCGGGCATCCGTGAACAACTATCTATATCAGGGAGACTCCCGGAACTTCCGGGAGATTTGGGATGTCTGTAAATATATTCCGAATTTTGTGTTGTGTAGGAATAATAAACAATAAAATAACAAGAAAATACTGTACTGTAAAATGTTTTCATAATATAAAGCTGTGCGCCTGGAGAATAAATAATTGATATACAGCTATGGACATTTTTACAGTAATGGATATTTGAAAAAAGCAGCAACATCAGAGATGTGCAAAATGACAGCAGCTGTCACGGTCTAGGTTCTGTTATTTTTTTCTTTTGAGTATTCAGTTTATCTTTGCTCCATGTTTTCTAGTTTTATTGGTTTAATTTGCATTTTGTTTTGTTTTCTGGTTAGATTTGAGTTTGTAGGTTTTTATGTGTTGCCCTATCTTGTTTGTCTCCTTTTCCCTAGTGTTAAGAATCCATTTTGTGTGGGGTTTTTTGTGTTTTCTTTTACCACCACTAGATGGTGCCCTGTCTTCGTTTGAGCCTCCTCGCACACCTGCGGCTCGTTGGGTCATCACCAGAGGAGTATTTAAGCAGTGGGCTGTCACTACCTCGACGCCAGTGTTTGCCAGTATTGGGCACTCTAGCCCAACTGAGATTAGCTGAGTCCAACCTTTAGCCTTGTCTTTCTGAGTCTAAGCTTGCTCTGTCTTTGTTCTCCGGCAGGAAGCCTTCCTGATCCACTGGATAGGCCTGGAGCTTCTACCCCCCTGGAAGGATAAACTGTGTCATAACTGAGCAAGGGGAAACCTCTACATCAGTGGTCGCCAACCCGTCGATCGCGATCGACTGGTAGATCTTTGAAACATTCCCTATAGATCCCGATAACAAAATAAAGCTTGAGAATTAACTGTCCCAAAATTACAATTTATGGCACTAGCTCTCAAGTCAGACATTTGATAGGTGACAGCAGATGTGGTCAGCTGGTATGGCAACAGCTGCGTGAAAAAAATCGAAAACTTATCATTTTAATGAGGAATGGGAAGAGGAATTTATTTTCACCATGGTGAAAGACAAGTGTATTTGTATGCTGTGCCACCAAACGGTTGCGCTGTCTAAAAGAGGAAATCTGGAGCAACACCACAACACCAACCACGTCAAATTCAAAGACAGTTTCCCCGCCAAGAGCGCAATCCGCGCTAGAAAAGTTGCTGAGCTGAAAGCGAGTTTGAAGATCCAGCAGTCACTTTTCACAAAACCTGTTGCTCAACATAAGGCTGCGACTGAAGCTTCATTCCATATTAGTCATCTTTTGGCTAAACATAAGAAGCCTTTTACAGAGGGCGATTTATTCAAAGAGGCAATGGCCATCACTGCAGATACGGTTTTCAACAGCTTCAGCAACAAAGATGACATCAAAACTGCGCTCCGCAGTATCCAGCTTGGACCGAACACTGTTGCGCGGAGGGTTGAGGAACTGTCTGCTGACGTGGATCGACAAGTGCTAACAGATTTGTCACACTGTGAATATTTTTCACTCCAGTTTGATGAATCCCTGGATGTAATGGACACAGCTCAGCTAGTTGTATTTGTCAGGATGGTGTTCCCGGACTCTACAACGAAAGAGGATCTTCTCACACTTTTGCATTTAACGGAAAGAACAAGAGGTGAGGATATTTACAACGCATTTAAAAAATATGTCTGTGATAATGACATCCCGACTGACAAACTGGTGGCAGTTACCGCTGATGGAGCTCCAGCGATGCGCGGCGTGCGCTCTAGATTTATTGCGTTGTGCCATAATGACAGCAATTTTCCCGACTTTGTGAATTACCACTGTGTCATTCACCAGCAGACTTTGGCGGAAAAGGTTGTGAACTTTAATCACGTTATGCCTGTGGTGGTCAGGCTGATCAACTCAATTAGAGCAAAAGCGCTTTAGCGCCACTTATTCAAAGCGTTAATGGATGAGCTCCATGCCGTGTAGGGAGACCTTCTCCTCCACGTTTATGTCCGGTGGTTGTGTCGCGGAAAAGTACTGCAGCGGTTTGTTGATTTGCTGCCTGAGATAAAGACCTTTCTGGAGACAAGAAACGAGGAGTGTGAGGAGCTGTCTGATGATCAGTGGCTGCTGGACCTGGGATTTCTGACGGACCTGACGGCAAAACTGAACGCACTGAACAACGAGCTCCAGGGAAAAGACCGACACCTTCCACACATGATCAGCGCAGTGAATGCGTTCAAGGCCAAGCTGGGTGTTTGGAAAACACAGCTGAAAAAAAGGAGGCTGACACACTTTTCCAACTTGGAGAAAATGTCACAGGCCATCAGTGACAAGGATGTTTTTCACCCTGAGGAGTACTGTGGTCACCTGGACAAAGTGGCAGCAGAGTTCAGTCACCGTTTTGGTGAATTGGACGCCATGGAAGATGTTGCTTCATTCATTTCAAATCCTTTCCTGACCACTGATGTGGAACAGGTGGCAGCCAAATTTCAGCAGCTATTTGCTCTGCCTAGTGGGGTTGACATGGAGATTCTGGATTTAATAAATTACATTGAGCTGAAAGGACGATCACAGGACAGTAACTTTTGGGGATTTGACAGCAGGGAGAAGTTTCCCCTCTTCACATCATGCGCACTAAGAGTGAGTGCCTACTTTGGATCCACTTACCTCTGTGAAATGACGTTTTCACAGATGAAAATAATTAAATAAAAATACAGGAGCCGCCTTAGTGACAAACACCTCACAGACTGTCTCCGACTAGCTGTCAGTAGTTATGAGCCAAACTACAGGGCACTCACAGACAGCATGCAGTCACAGCCATCTCACTAACCTGGGTGAGTAACATGCTAGTTTTAACATGGGATGTTAATTACACATAAAGATTGTAAATAACTACACTGAGCTCATTTACACTGACTGGGAATTCTTTTAAACACAATCAGTTCTATTTTAATACATTTTATTCCTAAAATGTTAATGTGGTGTAACTTACATGAAAGTTAAGTGGATAAGCATAACACTGCATGCAATATGTTCGCTTTTAGTTTGTTATCTTCTATAAAAGAAATGGTGACCTCATACAAAAGGAAATAGGTCATGCCTTTTTTTTTGTGTTAGACATAAAGCTATATCTAAAGTTGCATTGAAAATTGTGTTAACAATACAGTTCTATTTGGTAAATTGTTGATATTAATGTGACTAGTGAAGCTCCAGAAGATAAGCATAACACCTGATATGCCGTGCTTTACTTTTGTGTTGATATTAATTGAATTTGATATGAAGCTATGGCCAGTTTGATTTGCTCCTTACAATGTTTTCTTTGTTGCATTAATTTGTCCCGTTGGACCATAAACATTTTATGTAATTCAAAAACAGTTGTTTTATGAGTTCATTAGTAAATTAAAGGCTTCATGTTTGAAGTAGAATCTGGGCTTCTTTTATTGCAGCGCCTCAGGTAGATCTTGCTTCCCACCAAAGTGGAGGTTGGGGATCTTGGGCTTAAAAAGGTTGGAGACCACTGCTCTACATGATCCTCTCAAGTCCTCTTCAGGAAAACTCGGTGACAGCCAAGTCCTTTGCTCCTCTGGACCCAATGTGAGTCTGCCTGTCCACCCTCCAACGAGTTCTTTCATCTCTGGATAAGACCCCACAAACTGGATCCAAAGATTAACCAAGAGTTCCCCAAACGTGAGTGCCTCTCTTGCAAATTACAGACCTTTTTTCCTACGGTCCCTGAACTGATCATTGTGATCTCCCCTTCAGAGTTTCCAGTTCACCAGTCCCCTGAGGTCCAACTGCGTTATCCAGCTGTATATCTCTCAGTCTGTGTTTTTTGTAAACCACAGTAAAGCTGTTAACTTTTTCCCTTGGTTTCTGAGTGTGTTTCTGCATGT